CCCCCCCCCCCCCCCCCAACTCTTTGCGACTTCGATGTACCTCCCTCTGTGAAGACCAAATTCAGCTAAAGTGTTAATGATAACCATCCTAAAGCCTGTCATTTGATATAAATACATTCTACCGTGAAGTGGACATCTTTTAAAGAAATTCTCCTTATCATTTTCAGCAGAAAAAGTGTAAAATTTGCAAAAATAATTACCAGGAGAATTTTCTTTAATAATTTTAAATTTTTATCTACAAATCTTGCTCGCTCTTGCCTCATACACATTTTTTGGGGACGACGATGAGAATAAGCTAAATGAATTTTAGACTTTTCTGACCTTAAGATAATTGGAAACCTCCCTGTTCCTCAAGAGCTGGATAAAGCATTGAAACAGCCATCAGTAAGCCCCTATCAAAAATTATTGGCAATCTCGTGAATCGAAAGTCCGCCACTATAATTGACAAGTAAACAAGCATATGCCATGTACATGACATTTAAATGGATCTCAGTATTAGTATTAAGGCGCCATCAATAGACCTCTAGGGTAAAGAAGTAGTTGACCCCCCATATATTGTTATTTAATCACAAAGGTTGAAATAATATCTCAATATTAAACTCCCAGAGAGAAATTTCTTGAGTACTCCTCAAGATAATTTTGCGAAAATGTCTCTTCTTTTTCCACACACGGTATACTCTGTTGCTTCCACGGCAGACTTATTATGGCAGATTTTTTCCTGCACTCCCATGATTAAAATGAGCTTATTTGTGGTAATTTTAAAGAACAATTTTATTTTAACTCCACATTGTCACTGACAAGTAATTGACTTATGAATAGTAAGCATTTTTTTGGTAAATAATGCAGTGTGAGAAAATTATAAATAGTATTACATTTTATTGAAAATGGAACTTATAAGGAATATTTCACATGATTCCCAAGCTCTTTAATGCCAAAATTTCTACTAATTTCTACGAAAAAAACTCTAAAGATAATTTATTTGAGAAGAGATAGTTAATTGGAAGTTGTTGTAATGGGCAACGCAGTTTGTGCAAACCCTCTTGATGGCCTGAACTAATCATTGTTTATAACAGCATTGATCTCTGACTTTACAGATGTTACAACTTCGACATTAACGTAGTGGGAGAGAATCATTTAGCACTCATTTTGTGTTGATAGTGCATCGTGAATCCTTCCTGGTGAGGCATAACAATTGAGGTGGGCCACGGCTCTTACTCGATGTGCACCGATAGGTATTGAACACATTAAATCCTACTCTATTGCGGCTTCCCAAACTAAATAAAACTGCAATATTGAATCTGAGGCTTACAGTTTTCGATGTTGGTTGAAGACGCTACTTGTGTCTATCCGAGAATTTGTTCCTGCTGAGTTCAATCTTTAAACTGTTAGTTCTTGATCCACCTGTTAACTAGTAAGTCTTAAATTATTTATTTATTTATTTATATCAAATGGCATGTGTTTTGATAGTTATCACTAGCCCTTTAGTAGACTTCAGGCTTCACACAGGGGAAGGAACATCAAAGTGAAAAAGTCGAGAAGGGGATGGGAATAGAAGAGCGTTTCAAAGATATAAAAGAGATAGACACAAAGGTAGGAAAAAGGTGAGATGAGTACTATGGAAGTAGACGAATACAACATGCGGTCGGAAGATGATAGTTTGAAGTCAGAAGGGTGCGCGGTATACTTACCTCCACGTGGTGCATCCTGGGCAACGTATACTAATACGGCAAAAATGTCTATCAATCGGTAGTCTTAAATAAAATTTCCATTAAAACTAATGGGAGCTATTCGACAGAGCACTGGTTGATAAAAATGTAATGTTCATGCTCTGATATTTTAAACTTTATAACTTATTCTAACAGCTTTAATTTGCACCCTTTTTCATCACAATATGAAGCCTTTAATTTGCTCTGCGAGTCCCCATCGATATACAATTTGGTTGATGATTTACTTCAAAGTCAAAAGAATTGTTGTCAATTACAATTTCTTTGTTAGAAATTGATAGCTCATTACTCATCTGTCATCCACGTTATACAAAGTTGGCAAGAAACTTCAAATATCCCGGAATTGATTATGATTAGTAGTGAAATTCAAAGGAATTCAGAGATAATTTCATGTGTTTTCACACCTAAACTTCCACAGTGAATGCCACATTTTTATAAATATCCTGTGACAAGAAAACACTAAGAATATAGAATTTATATGAAAACTCCCAATCTATCAAGTGCGCATTTAAAGGTTAAGTGGTGGTCTATTCAACTTGAAACGCACATTTCTTCCCATACAAAATTGTGATGGTATTAGAATTAAGTAAATTTTGAAGGAAAATGCGTTAGTAGTTTACACTGTCAATCAGCCTAAAGAGCAATAATCAAGTTTCAATCGATAAACCAATTGTATAGGTAAATTTTGGAAAATTGAGGAGTGGCGGGGTGGAATGAATATAAAAAAGGAATGTATTTATAAGCTTTTCATATATCGAATCTTGAGATAGTTAGGAACTGCATGCATTGCGCAATTTTCAATCCAGCAAATAGATATTTCCCATTGTATGAAGTTATAAAATGTTCTCAGAATTTGACTGCAATGAATAAAGGAAAAATTTAATTTGACTAGATTTCATTTGCTTTTAACGAATCAGAGCCCCCAGCCTGTAAGACTCAAATAAAGAAAGTATTAATTCAGATTCGAATGTACTTAACATATTATCAGAATATTCGGATAAAATAGACTGCATTGTACAACAGCTTACACTAAAAAACGGATTATTCAACACCCGGCAAGGTTACATAGAAGTCTGTCTAATAACACAACATATTACAAGCACTATACTATGTCAAAATCAGCAATTTCAAGTAGGATACCTTACTTCGGAATTAGTAATTATGACACTCCAAGTTCACTTGAAAACGAAATGGAGGCAAGTAGGCACACCGCAACCCACTCGACTTCGAAAAAGGCCAACATTGCAATTCATGAAGATCAAATTGAATTTAATAGGCATTCAAGAGAATTAATACTCTCGGAGGTGAAGAAAGCGAAAAAATCCGATGATGACAATGTGTTAGTGATATGCAGCTCAAGTGGAAACGACGCAGCCCTATTCACTCTTCGATTTGATACTAAAGAGGAAATTTCTAAGGTCTTAGAGTTTCTGAAAAGTTATGCCAAATCGTCTCCTGGAATTTCTTTTCCTTTAAATCCTGAAAGAAACGACACAATATCGAATTCAAATGCATCAGTCTCATTAACTCGCCTTCCAAAGAGCCGAGCACGATCTAATTCAAACAGGGGAAACATTTCCCAAAATTCTCGAAGCAATGGAACAAATTCGATCGAATTTCAAAAACCTAGAATTTCTACTAATAAATCGAGTTTCTTTCATACAAGTAGAGGAGAAAGATCATTTGAAATCCAAAAATCATTTGAGAATAGCAAGTACAGGAATCGATCTAGCAGTTCAAAATCGATAGAAATAACCACTCCTCCAGCAGAAATCCAAATTAAGAGAGAGACTCCAAAGAAATCATTTGATACCAGTAGTTCAAAAATATCCTCATCCACTTCAACTCTCAACTGGGCAGAACGTGTTCCAACACGTCAAAAGAAATTCTCTGCCGATTCAGTTAATCAATTTGTTTCGGGTAAGAAGGAGATCCCGAGGCCTATCAAAGTGACCGTTGAAAGCAGGCATGACCATCCTCGACGAGGAAGTACGTCATCCTCCTCAACTTGTGGTTTGAGTATGAAAACGAGTATGAAGAGAAGCAAAGATGCAACTCAAGGTCTACCAAGGTATAGAGTAATAGATAGCACACAGGACAGCCGCCACGATGATGACATTGGCAACCTCACCGAAACCAGTGGATATTGTGAAGATACCATAGGCAGGTCCTTACCAGTTCACTGCATTCCTGACCTCAAGGTTGTGTTTCCGGTGTGCTGCAAGATTTGCTGCGGAAGTATTGAGAAGCAGCATGCATGTATACCGATGAAGGCCATACGCAGTTACTGTCATTGTTGAAGTAACTTCCTTGTGAATTTAGTTATATTAGCAATAATTTTATGCCATTTAATTTAAGAATGAATTTTGAATTATTTTTCATTTAAAACGAAAAATCAATTATTAATAACTCTTTAAAAATATATACATAAACTATATGCAAAGCGTTTGTGACGCATTTACATATCAGTTAAGAATTTATCCCTTTAAACCATTTTTTAATTTAAACTTCAATATTAACTTGCAGTATCTAATTTTATTGAAAAAATATATTTTATATTTATTTATTGGGAATTTCATTTAGCACGAGTAACGGATTTTGGGGTAGTTCAGGTTGACAAATTAGAACTGTCATCAATATTCCAAGAGAACCTTAAAAACATTTAAAATCAAAAGAAATCATCCGTTTAAATATAATAATGTACTATATGGACCTCTATTTTAATCAATACATTATTGATAGTACTTATGATTTAAATAGTCAGAAGTATAAAGATTATTAGAATGCGAAATTTGGCTTCTAAAAGTGAAGATTTCTTTGGCGTTGAAATATTTGTAGGTCCTTTTTTGTTCTTTTTGTATTCTTCCTCTAGCATGGGGATTTGAAACAGTAGCTTGTTCTCACAGGGAATTTCAAATTATTGATTTTTTTGAATTATTTGGGCTATTTATAATAGTGTAATTAAATAGGCAGTTGTAATTCAGAAGAAAACGTTTCGTATTTAATAAAATCAGGTTACCATGTCTATTCCGGAGCTATCAAATTTATAAGTCGCTTTTTAAATAAAATATAGTGGTGGGGGGGGGGGGTCTTGTGGCAGAATCCAATAAATCTATGCAACTTAATTTTCGAAGGAGTGGAGCACAGGTTATGGAGAAAAAATGCCAAGTGAAGGGAAATGCGCTTTCTTGCTCGAAATGGGCCGTATCATTCAATAAAATTAGCATCACGTAGTATGAAACATTCACCAAACATTTCGAGGTATCTAACTTACAAGTGCAAAGAAAATCAATCACTTGAGACTTTTTATCGCTTTCCATTTTGGTGAACTTTGAGAACTGCAGAAGTCAGGTGAATGCAGAAATCAAGGGAGTGAAAGATCTCAGTGGCAGTTTGTAGTACTTTATGTCGTTGTACGATAATTCTGATAAAGTCATCCTCTTTAAAATCATTATCGGAAATCCCAGAGGTGCCTGGAAAAATTCCCACGCAAACAAGGATCTCAAACAAGCGAATCTGGACGCAATCAAAGGATCAAGTTATAATCTATAAATCAATATATACGTATCGGATGAGTAAAGTGTATGAATTAGGCCAATCAGAGGAGTGATAAAAAAATGGCAATAAAGTAAAGTTTTCAGCAAAAGTGTAAGGTGTTTAACCCCGTTTTTTGCTATCACTGGTGTGGGAGTCCAAGGTGTATTTTTAAACTTGTGCATATTTAATTTTAAACCAAGAATTTTAAAATTGTCGAGGAAAGAAATCGGGCCATTCAAAGCACAACTACTGAGATTTTGTGAGTAATGCGAAACGTCTTTCCTTCTAGGGATTCTCAAGCTATGTCTTAGGAGGTCGAAATATAAACTCAAATATAATCTTGACTCGATCCATTTGCTCATACATTCGCGTCCTTTGAATTAATATTCTCGAGCCTAAAGTAAAATTGTTACCAGTTGTGCAAACTCAAAAATCTCTTCACTTTTAAAAAAGGATACCATCAAAAAATAAATATTTAATAAATCAAAAGCATTTAAGAAGCTTTCACGTCGAGTTTGATATATCATCGATTGAAAAAAATTGCACTTCCACTTCACTTGATATTAAAAGTCAATTTGTACGATCCATTTACACCTGCTCGTTGAAAAAGGAAATAACGACAGTTTCTTGAACAAAAATTCAATTTGTCATTCTGATTAATAAGCCTACATTAAACACAGTCAAGAACCTCAACTGACAGACATTCTCCATAATGCCTATTCTTTGTCAACTGTTGAGATTGAAGTTAATTATAATAATGAATCAATGAGCAGAAGTATGGAACATAGTTAACTAACACTACTAATGATTTTTAGTTTTTCTACTCAGTCTTAGAACCTTGGCGTATTCCACTAGAGCTTTGATTTCTAGGTAAGTTAATGACATTGGATTACAAAATAGCTTCACACAGCGAACCCTGGTACTCACCATTTTCTTTTAATTGATGGAATATTGAAGAAAGTGTGCACAGAACTTGTCCAAATTTAAAAGATCCTATGAAAACGACACTTCACCATGAAGAGTGTCTAGGCCAATTGTTGTCATAATCTACCAATTAATGAAAAACGTTTTCTTCTGAGTTGCATGAAAATCTGGACACAATAGTATTTATTGGAATGGTGAAACGAATATTTTTTGTGAGGAGCAATTGGCATAACATAAAGCGAATTTAATTGAATCACATATTCAAATTCCCGCAGGAATCCAATTTCTACATCACCTGAATTTTGAATGTTTTTGTTGAAAATCTATAGCCTCTCACTGAGACCGAAATCCACTTTTCTCATCGTATTTAAACTTATAAAGGTGTTTTAGCAAGCACGCTCTAAATCCGATCCTCAATCACAACCCTATTTTCCCATCTTATCTCATTACTGCAACAATAGAACAACACAGAACTGCCAGATGCACAAAATACTGTTCAACAAGATCTATGTGTGAACACATGCATCCAAATTTCCCTCACCTTCTGATTGGCAAATCCGTATGTATTCAACAGATAAGTTGCACTACGCTTGCTCACAATTGGTGGGCCTTTAACTTCAAATATTAATGATCAGTATGTGGTATTGTACATTTTTACCCAGTACTCAGAAAGTTACCCAAACGCCTTTTTGAAGTGAGCCTCTCACGCACAAATGGAAGGTATGAAGGGAATCGTGGACTTCATTAAATGCAAGAAATTCAAAAAGACCGCAGATTATGATATTACATTGAATAAACTACTTGACAAGGCCAAAAAAGCCAAACCTGGAAAGACGCGATTTGGGATTGCAACGGAATGCAAGACTTTGAAATTCTCCTCAGTCGGAAAGAAGGCCACACCGGTTAACGAACTCGACATTTGCAGGATAAAGAATTTAAAGAAGACGTCTACTAGCGAGAGAGCAATAGCTTTCACCTATCCCGGACCCGATGGAAAGTATCCGCTTATGCTGTATGCAATGCGATTTGAAAAGGAAAGCGACTATACCTTGTTTGTAGAGAGGATTGAAAATACTTCCTGCGAAGTATGTGATGAAAGTAAGTTTAATGCGGGAAGTTCTCATCGAAGTTCATCCAGTTCATCCAGTTCATCATCTAGTTCATCACGACACTCAAGCATACGCCCACCAAAAAGAAAGGAAAAAAGGAAAAAAGTAAATTGCTACACTTCCTCTGATAATATTCTTTCGCCTTATGGAACCCCTAATTTCTGGGGAAATCGTTACGATATGGGCTATCAATCATCTTCTCCATATCGTCGAGCCTACTCCGTTGGACCTCAGAATGTGCGTATTTACAAAGTGTACAGGGTTGAGAAAGGCTCAGGTATGGGCAGTGGAAGTACTTCATCATCCTCTAGCACTACCAGCAGTTGTGCAGACTTTACATCCAGTTCAAGTTACTCTAGCGAAGAGTTTAATTGTTACGGTGAAAACAATGCATATTTTAACTCATATGACTCATATTATAAATGTTGATCTAACCATTTCCAAGATTTCTTCTTTCTCCATGGACATTACTTGGCGAGCTTACCCTCGACTTCATTATCTGTACCTTCAATTGGAGATGGAATATTTTACTTTCACTTCCTTCCCTACCAATCCCTATTCCAAATCTTTAATCACATTATTGAATTTTGCTAGCTTAGTATAGAAATTCTAAAGTTATCGATTTTGTGTTTAAATAGAAATATATCTGACTGAAGTTTAAGCGTCTACACACTCGGCTTTTAGATAATAGTAATAAAGTAATTTAACAATTTTACAATAAGCTTTATAAATTAATTTACTGTAAAATAATAGAATTTTAAGTTCTATGCCTGAGCCAATTGTTTATTTAGTTAAAAAAATCAGGTAGATTATGCGATAATAATCAAAACTATTGATACAATAAATTATGATTTATTTTCACTCAATTTTATAATAGATCGAGTAACATAAAGTAAGTTTCTTCATTGATCACTTGTTTAATATTTTTGACGAAACCTTGGAATTACTTCCACTAATGACATTTTTTACGATTAACCGCTGATTGACAACGTGAATTAAGATGAAAATTTACTCATTACGAACTGATATTAGGCCTTTCGCGGTTTTATTTCACATTGTTTTAAAGGAATAGAGTAATTTAGATAAAAGTTTTATTAGTAGTATTGCCAATGTTAATAAAATCAATTTTCTTTTGTTTAAACCATAAGATTGCTCTTTTTAAGTCCACTTAAAAGAGAGTTTATAAGCAGTCATCTTGGGAAGAGGAGACACAATATGGACCTTTCCTACTAACAAATCTATTAGAAAAATTCAGATCTTTGAAACCTTGATTGCAATCAGTCAATATAACGCAATGGGAATTTGAATTCCCCAGCAAGCTACTCCTTCCGGCCTATTGATCATATATATGATTTTACGCCATGAAAGGCTGAGAGATAATGGAAGAATGATCTCCCAATTATTTTTATTTAAATGAAAAGGTGTCTTTTAGAGACGGGTTGAAATCCTGTGTAAATTTTAAAACTCAAAGAAGATGATAAAGTGAACCTCGAACTTGACTTCATAAAAAAATATTGCTCTCAAATGTGAAGTTATGATAACAACAAACTGTCCTATTTGTCATACGCCATTACTTACACCTTTATAAAAAATGCAGTTTCAATTTTAATATTATCCATATAAATATAAATATTTATTTATTTCAAATGTCAGGCGTTTTGATAGCTATCATTAGCCATTTAGCTGACTTCGGGCTTCACAGCGGGAAGGTTCATCAAAGCAGCATAAAGTCGAGGGGTGGGGAACAGAAGGACGATTCACAGGTGTAAAAGAGGCAGACAGACACAAAGGTAGAAAAAAAGGTAGGGTGAGTACTGTGAAAGGGGTCGAATATGACAACCAGGGGGGTCGTGGTAGTTTGAAGTCAGAAGTCAACTGCCGATTAATAGACTTTTTGCCGTATGAGTATACGTTGCACAGGGTGCACCACGTGGAGGTGAGTCTATCGCACACACCACATACCCAACATACACACTGCCCATATAAACGAGTCCTAAGGCGTATGTCTGTTTCCTCTATACTCTTGATGTAGGTAAGCTAATCCCGGGAGCCATTCCAAACTAGGAGAACTTGCCATAGGGATTACTAAGAATAAGTCAAGGCTTATTAGCGTAGCAATCCGCTACAAGCCCAATGCATACAAAATTCAAGTAAAGTTAGCCCCTTCATGTTGCTTTTTTGTCTAATTAATTAATTGACAGCACTCGTGTTCAGAAGCTCTCCATTTTTGAAAGCGTCTTTCGCTCTACAGTGAGTAACAGTTGTAATGATCATTCATCATAGGCAAAAACCATGGAATTTTTCATAAAATGTACCCTAAAATAATTATTTTCATAAAGCAGTCACCGTAGGGAAGAATCACTTAAATTGCTTCACAGCTAACATTAAAGTTCGAACACTATCAATCACCACGGACCCCTCCCCCCC